CGCTACAGCAAGAAGTCGAGCGAAGATGGCAGCCCGACCCCGGGCAAGCGCGGCAAGAAGGGCAGCCCGAGCGCGCAGTCCTTCGAGGAGCTGCAGAGCCAGCGCATCCTGGCCAACGTGCGCGAGCGCCAGCGCACCCAGTCGCTCAACGAGGCGTTCGCCGCGCTGCGGAAGATCATCCCCACGCTGCCCTCGGACAAGCTGAGCAAGATCCAGACCCTCAAGTTGGCGGCCAGGTACATCGACTTCCTCTACCAGGTCCTCCAGAGCGACGAGCTGGACTCCAAGATGGCAAGCTGCAGCTATGTGGCCCACGAGCGGCTCAGCTACGCCTTCTCGGTCTGGAGGATGGAGGGGGCCTGGTCCATGTCAGCGTCCCACTAGCAGGCGGAGCTCCCCACCCCCTCGGCAGGGCCGGAGACCTAGGTAAGGACCGGCGCCTCTGCGCCCCTTCGCCGCTCAGGTAGCGGAGCGACTGACGCCCAGGCCGCGGCTCCCAGTTCATCTTGCCTTCCTCCCTGTCTCCCACTCCCCTCTCAGCCTCCCCCCACCCCAACCTGGCACCGCCAGCTCATCCCCGAGCGTCCCTGGAAGGCAGCTCATTCCCCGCTAGGGAGAGAGGGATGCGCCCTTGTGAAAGGTGTGCGTGTGCGTGAGTATGCGTGACAGACAGGAGGGAAGACTGAGAAAGATTCGAGGGTTATGGGTAAGGACAGTCTTGCCAGCGCCTCCCTTTCTTTTGGCTTTAAGTTTTCGTTCTCCTTAAAACAAATGTTTCCAAATTCCACCTCCTCCTTCTTTCCGCCCACCCACTTCCTCTTGCCCTTGGGCTGAAATCCTTCCAGGTTGTTCAGCGTAATTTCTCCGTGGTGGTGATAAGAACAGTGCTCACTAGTCTTAGAAAACAGCCAGAGACCTAAACAATAACCGATTTTCCCCCCTCTGGGTTTTTGCAGATGTCATTGTTTCCAGAGAAGGAGAAAATGGACAGTCTAGAGACTCTGGAGCTGGATAACTAAAAATATATATATATGCCAAAGATTTTCTTGGAAATTAGAAGAGCAGAACCCAAATTCAAAGAAACAGGGCGTGGGGCGCACTTTTAAAAGAGAAAGCGAGACAGGCCCGTGGACAGTGATTCCCAGACGGGCAGCGGCACCATCCTCACACCTCTACATTCTGATAGAAGTCTGAACAGTTGTTTGTGTTCCTTTTTTTTTTTCTTGACGAAGAATGTTTTTATTTTAATTTTTATTTTTTCATGCATGCATTCTCAAGAGGTCGTGCCAATCAGCCACTGAAAGGAAAGGCATCATTATGGACTTTCTCCATTTTTAAATGGTAACAGTCAGAGGAATTTTAAGAACACCTTTAGAAATAAAGATACTGGGATTAAACTGACTTGCAAAATCATAGTCAGTTAATTCCTTTTTTCATTCTTCCTCTGAGGGAAAAAAAACTTAAAATACAAAAAAACAACATTCTATTTATTTATTGATGACCCATGGTAAAATGCAAATAGATCCGGTGTCTAAATGCATTCATATTTTTATGATTGTTTTGTAAATATCTTTGTATATTATTTTTCTGCAATAAATAAATATGATTGAAAATTTTAAGAACCTTAGAGTTTGGTCTATATTTTTAAAGCTCAGGATTAAGTTGGAGGTAAATACCTGCTTGTTTAACTCTGGAGACATGCAGGAGGGTGAGGAAGCACTTAATATAAATAAAGCAGTGAAAAACTCAAACTAGCTACTGATAGGTACAGGCATGTTATTTAGAAAGACAGCTTTATCATCATTATTCCTGTTTGGTGTTCAGTGGACTTAGCATCTCCCCTTCCTTCATCTCTTATCAAGTCCCCAGACAGCAAAAACTTTAATAGTTAATTCACCTCACTTGCTTATATTTTGAGAAGGCAGCTATAAAACAGTTAAATGCAAATAAACACTTAAGAACTCAGCACTGTTTTCTCTTGTTACTGTAGTTTTGTCATGACCTCTACTCTTTATAAGGATTTTTAAATAATAGGTTCATTTCAGTGAAAGGATGCATAAAGTATTATCAGAATTACCTATCTGTACACACATATAAATGAATACAAATGCATAGAAAATAAAGCTTAATTCAGCATGAAAGAGAATTCCATTTGTAAAGTAATTTGCTTTACTGTTCTTTCATGAATGAGGATGACATTTAATTGCTAAAAAGGAAAGCTGAAGTTAAGAATATTTCCCTATGTTGATGTTACCCATTTGGGAAGTATGCTCCCAAAATGTATGTAAAGAACATACAGCTATAAAGTGAAAAACAAACAAAGAACCTGAACTTACAGTGTCTTCAGTAATTACTGTAAGAGTTACAATTTTAAATGCTATAGCTGCTCATTTTCTAGTCAGTTCATTAGCAAATAGATTTTATACAAAATTACACAGAATTTTTCCCTGGTTACTTACATGTATACAAAATCTGATGAAGTTAAGTAAAACAATAACAAGGACAAATAGTGCTTGATTTTTACTTCATTCTCGTTATTTCTAGGCCAGAAAAATATTGGCTATTGTAATTAATACCATTAGAAATGGTGATTTAGTATCAGTTCTTAACTTTTATATCCAGTTTACTGCATTTAAGTATAACTAGGGATGCTTTCACACTGGAAAATAATTTTGCTGCCTAATTCAAGCAATGACTATGGCAAAAAAAAGTGTATGAATCCAAACAGATCGTATTTGTTTAGCACAGGTTGAGGTTATGTTATTGCCTGAAGGTTTTTCTCCCCCTCTCTACACATCATTATAGAATGCTGACAGAACAATATTGTACATTTATTATTGTGTGTATTTTAAGACTATGTTTAACAATAAGGAGCCTGTAGAATTTACTTAAATTAAAAGATTAGTGAAACTTTGGGGAAATAATTTTTTAGATTTTGATAGTCCTTTTCAAAATAATAAGATGGGAAACCGATTATGTGTGGATATATGTGTGGAGTGTGTGTGTGAGTGTGTAGAGCAGAAATGTAAAGAGGGTGCCCTAGAAGGATGAGAGAGTATCAAGATGGTAATTCTCTTTTGTGTGTGTCATCGAACCACCTCCATTTTCTAAATTGTTCATGGAGGAATCTCCTTGTTCATTAGCTTGGTCTGACTATTTGATATTTCAGATTTCTTGACATACATCAGAATGGAGCTGACCATCCTTGCTGATAAGGTAATTTCCATCTTATCTCTGATGATATAGAAACTAGAAGTTTCAAAAAAGGTAGCCTTCCATTTGCCTTTTCTTCTTTTTCTATTCTGTTTCTTTGGGGGGGTTCTCTACTTTTCTCATAAAAGACTTGAGAGAAAAGCAAATGCCACATTTATGTTGAGTAATACTAAATACTAAACTGAAAGTAATATTTTCCATGAGATTTTCATAGATAAACAAATGAATGAAAGAAAAGTGGTGAATAATTTTACTTTGAATGAGAAGAATCCACAGTGGAAAATATTAACTATTAGAATACAATTTTCAGCTTGCTGACTATTTCTGTGTTCCCAACCTCCCTCACCCCATACACACCACAGTGCTAATCCTGCCTTAAAGTAGAAATGAAGCCACCTGTGTTTCTTTTTCTATCGTTTCCTGTTTTCATTTTATTTCATTTTATTTTGCTACTTATTCTTATTTAAAGGACATTTAGAAAGAATTGCCTGTTTCAGAAGTGAGATTTTAATGGTGTCTGGACCCGGGAGCTTTAACTCTTTAGCCAGAATGTATTCCCTGGAAGGAATGTATTGTATTACATTATCTTGGGTGAATTCTAAACAATTGAATAAGAATGTTTGCTTTACTGTGCACAGAATTTTTTTAATCTTGCTTTTAATTTCGTTGGACTGATAGCCTTCAGTCATAAGAAAGCAGTGAATTTTTGTTCCCATCATACACATTTTCCCTCTTTATGCACACACTTGGTAACAAGCACATGCACAGATGATAATTCATGCACAGTTGCAGGTACCCTCCCCAAAGTGGAACATATTAATAAAACAACGTTAAATAGCGGAAACTCACACAACATGTGTACTTTTTTCCCACACTCAGCAACAACACAAGCTTCTTGCTCCTTCGGTCCTCAGGATCATATTCATAAGGGAACTTTTTAAGGGACACTTGGCCTCTTGCAAAAAAGTCGAGCATTTTGCACATTCCACGGTTTGGCAAACTCAGAACTGGTTATTTTCTCTAGACCGGTATCAAGTTCTTCTCAGGCATATGATTTCACTTGAAGTTCTGCCCAGGAATCCTTCAAAGTGAGCGTTTGTCCCGCTCTCATGATGTCAGGCGGTTTTCCCTGCATCTGTAATTTGAAGAAAAACAAACAAACCTGCGGGGAACAAACGCCACGGAAACCCAAACAGAACTCCGTGGGGAGCGGGAGTCTCACCTGCGGCGCGCGCGGGAGGGGGTGCGGGCCCCTACTCCCCTGCGTGGGTGGCAGGCGGCCCGCACGGTGGGTAGAGTGACAATGTCCGTGGCCTCCCGGGACGGCGTGGACGGCCCCGGCCCGCGTCGGGCTGCTGCGCGGAGGCGGCGGCTCCCAGTGTCAGCGGTAGCGAGGGGAGCAGCAGCAAGAGCTTCAGGCAGAGGCCCAACCTCAAATTTCCAGAGACAGGCCTGCATTAGCGACAAACTTGGGTCGGTAGGGGGTTCCCCGGGGGGCCACTTTTCCAGAATTTTCCACTGGAGTGTCATAAAGCGTGCTGCACACCCAGCACCGGCGAAAGTGGGAAGAAAGTGCACCGGCAAAGTGGAAGGAGAACTAGGTTTCCTCATAATTTCGAAAAGCCGGCCACCCCACCATTTCCCAGCCACCTGGAAACCAAGCCCTCGAAAATACAAACAGGATTATTAATTGTCCTTATTTACTGAACAGCAAATGAGAGACCCGTTAAACAGGGCCTGAGATATATTTTCCGCTCGCTTTTGTCCCAAGGCTCCAGGACGTGTGAGCCCACTTTATGTTCTTAGCAAATCAAAGCACGTGTCCTTTGAAGAAGGTGTGTAATTGGAGTTTAAGGCATGTATGGAATTCCCAGATGTCTATAAAGTAAGAAGGAGCATGTGGCAGGTCACTGGAAGGTGGGGCAGGTTAAAATCACTGGCACAAAATTCCGCCCTTTATATTCTCCTGTATAAGGGCCACGGAGATAAGCCTTGGGCAAGGGATAGGACGGGATCTTCGTGAATATCCAGCTTTTCCTATCAGAGTCACAGTAACCATGGTAAAAAGCACATGGTCAAGAAACCTCAAAGAAAACACTCAATTATAGCCGGGATTTCGTGGGCTCCCTGCAAGGAGATCGTTTGGGGTTTGTTTCAGCCAGGGCCTCGAAGGGCTGCCATCCTTCTTGTTTACGTGGACAATTTTCTTTTCCTTCTATTTTTTCTGCCCTCTTCGAGATTGTAGATGTGTCTTCGTAATTATGCGTGAGATTTAGGCTGGGGACAGAGGAACAAAATTCCAGATTAGGAAAAGAAAAAAATTCTAAAAACATTCATACCGAAAGGCAGCTTTCTTGGGGAGAGGAGATTGCGAGCGAGTGGAATTAGATTTCTGCAAAACATGCAGTTTAAACATCTACTAGAGAGAGTGAAGTCTCAATGTAAAGCAGTCATCAAAATCAGCTGCTCACTTTTTCTCAATTCACTTAAGTGTACATGGCTGTGTATGAGACTGTTTAATCTAAGCGCGAGTTTGATTTGCTTATTAGGCAGGTTTGTTTGTTTGTTTGTTTTGTTTGCTTTTGATCTGAAGCCAGAATCGAAGGAAATATGACTTTTCTCCTTGGGTTCAAGACGGTGTCCTCACTTTACCTGCACAGTGGAGCCAGAGGCGGGAGACATAAGGATGGGGGTCTTCCAAAGAAATTGGCCCTGGCAAGGATGGCGCTGGGAGAGGGGTGATGTGGGGTCATCTGGGGCTGGGGGCCCCAGCGAAGAGGGCTGGAACAAAACCTGCCACAGACCCCATCACTGAGGCAGGCGGGAGGGGGAAAGGGACGCGCCCGGGGTGACGCGAGTGTGACAAGTGAAAAGTTGAGCAGGTACCTGAAGGAAGTTTATCTTGCCCAGATGTTAGGGCTTTTTTGAAATGTCACGTGAAGAGAACAGATGTACAACTTGCAAATGGGACCACGCCTGTAAATACAAGAAAGGCAAATGCTTGGAGGGGAAATCCAGGCATAAATCATCAACCTCCTTTTCTAGATATATATTTTCTCCTTTAAATAGTTGCTTCCGGAAAGGGAAGGTGCATCTTCCAGGAGAAGTCACAATCCAATCCCCTGGCCAGCACCCCCACCCCGACCCCATCCTCTGGTGCCTTGGGTGTGGATGGTTTGGATAGAAGGCAAATTTCTTCCCCGCTGGAGTTTTCTTTCTTCACATCCTCCCTCCCCCACGTTTCTCTCTTGGTTTCTCAAAGACGTTTGATCCTCAGAAACATATC